CCGCCACGGGCGCCGGCGCGCCTCTCTGCGCGCGCCGTGTCCGCGCCCTGGCCCCATCCCCCGACTGCCGCCCACCCCCGCCCCGCCGCCACCCCCTGGCGCCCCGGACGCCCTGCCTTTCCACCACCCCCAGCCCCTCCAGCGCTCAACCCCAAATCGCAACCCCTGAACCCTACACCCTGAACCCTAAACCCTAAACCGCAGCTCGCCGGCCACTACCACCCTGGGGGCGCGGCGGAGGTGGGGGGGCTGCACTATGTGACCTGCGAGGGCCTGCTGGAGGCGCCCCCGGGGTCGGACGCGTACGCCTTTGTGGACGTATATCATGACCGCCTCTCCCTCCGCGGCCGCGGCTGCGCGGCGTCGCACGAGCTGCCGCTGCCGCCGCGGCCAGCTGCGGCTGCTGCTGCTGCGGCCGAGGGGAAGGAGCGGCGGGGGTGACCAGGACTGGGGCTGGTGCGCGATCGCGTCTGCCCGCGCGCGTGCGTGGGTGTGTGCTTGCGCGCACTGGGCGTCAGGTGTCCCTGAGGGGTGAGGCTGGGCCCTTCGACGGTCAACAGCGTGAAGACGAGGCGGCACCTTTGCCGCTGGCTTGGGATGGGTGTCGACATGCCCGCACAAGTTTCTGAACAACAGCCAACACTGCCATTGGGTTTTGAGTGTGCCGAACTGCTGAACCGCGCGGCTTGCCACGGGGGTTTCAAACCCCTGCACCAGACGGCGGTTGCCCTCAGCTTGCGACGCAGCCTCTCAAGGCGCCCTGCAGGCGTTGCTGCCCCTCTGCACTGAATCCCCGTGAAGACCCCATCGACTGTGCCAAGCACTTCGTTCCCATCCGGCTGCACGCCCTCCCCGCGCAGCTGACTTGTCGCCTCCAGACCAAGTCGTGAGTTGACGCACAATCCATTGGGCCGGGACGAACAAAAACTGTACGTGTTCACCAGTCAATTCGTTGCTTCCTCGAAGCCAGGCGTTTGACCACCCCCAGCTGCCCAAGCCAGGGTTGCGACTGTAACTTTTTGCTGGCTGACAGGTCGGGTGACTCCCCATGATCAGCGCTGGGGCCTAATACCGCCACGCCGCAAGGGCCAGCTGCGTGATATCACAACATACCGGGCCCAGACCAGTTACTCTCGTGTGACTCTTTCAAAACCGACGCTGCGCACGTCGAGTTGGGAAGGTGCTCAGCACGCGTGTGCCACGAGGTGAGGCACTGATGTGCGCGGCGCACTGCTCGCGCCGCGCGCGGCACGGGCCCCCGCGACCGGCGCCGCGACGCCGGCGTAGCCCCGGCCTCCAAGCGCCTACACGGGCCGGCTTGGGGCGCGCGCGCTCTCCTCCTGCTGCTGCTAGTGGTTGCGGCCCCGCGGCGACCCCCAAGGGGGGTCACCGCAGGGGCCGGGCGCGAGACGTTCAGCCGCGCTTGACGGGGTCGAAGGTGGAGACCGCGGTGATGGCCACGGCGATGCCGCCCAGGACCACGCCGCCCGCGATCAGCGAGTAGAGGAAGTTCCTGGTCAGGTGTGAAAGGGCGGCGGTGTTTGGTGACGATGCATCGATGCATTGCTTTACGTGCGGGTCAAAGAGCCCATGAAACCACGAGGTCTTGCTGCGCTTGCAGCCCTGCTGTCGAAAACAAGTCGTTGACTCCACCCTGCTGCAAAGCCCACTTCGGAGGAATGGAGCGAGGGCTGTCCTTGGCAGGGGCTGTTCACTGCAGCTGGCCGTGCTGCCAGCTCACTTGAGGGAGGGGGTGACGGCCGCCTCGGCCATCAGGGGCGAGGCCATCATGGCACCGACGCCGCTGATCACGCCGGCGGTGACAGCCGCTGCGGCGCGCTCCTGCTTCTGGGCGCTGTGGGGCAAGAATCGAGGGAGCGCAAGCAGGGGTGTGCGTGGGGCGACTGGGTGCTGCAAGTGCTGCAGGACACAGCAGCGTCGCTTGTGACGCACCGGCGGATGTACCCCCTGAGCCTGCGGTCACCGTTCCGCCACTGTATAGTATGGACCCCAAGTCACCAAACCATCTGCTTCGACGGCCAATGGTGGCCCCACTCCGCTGGGATCGCCCGATCTCTAAACCCGAGCGATAATGCCATTGGCGTTGGCACCCGTCCAACCCGATCCAGAACTGTGTCAGCGCACCTAGCGCGCACAGACAGCCTCGGCCGGACCACAGTGCAGCGCACGCCTGGAAAGGGAGAGGCGCGGAAGCGCGTGTGAGCACAGCCCCTTCCACGGATCAGGCGCCCGCGTTCACGCAATATTCACATGTAATCCGCGAAGCTGCAGGAGATCTGAGCGCTCACTCGGGGCGGTGCGGGCGAGGGTCGCCTTCTGCTGCAGCTTGAGGGCCATGGCTGCTGCTGAGTGTGTTTGTGAAAGCGCCGAAGATGCGTAAAAGTTGGAGATCGCTGCGCAGGGTGTGCCTGTGCGGAGTGCAGGGAGCTATCAAGACTTGCCGCTTGAAAGCACTGCCTGTGCGCCTTCCACTGTAGTGTGTGCATGCGTTGGGTTTGGTGTGCACCCGAGAGCCAGGCGTAGACAAACCAGCCACAAGACACCTTGAGCTTGGAGTTTTGCTGCACCTGCTGCAGGTGCCACCCTGGTGGTGCAGTCGTGCAGCTGATGTCACGCACACGCACCACGCGCGCAACCTACGCTTCCCCTTCTGGCCGATCGCGTTCGGCGTCCCTCGCTCGTCCATGCTGCCAGCCTAATGGGCTAGCCCCGCAGGTATTAGGATACAAGCGCAGGCTTGCGCGCCTCGAGTGATTACCCATTCTCGCAGCCAAATCAGTGCCTTGGTGAGATGGCGGCAAAAAGCTGTGTTGTCCAGAAAATTTACACTTGTGTGTTTGCCTTGATGCACTGGCTTCTTCCCGGCTCACAACAGCGCAGACAGTGAATAAGCCATAGATCTGACTACACATCATCTATCAGCTGCCTTGCTGCGAGGTTGTTGCAAGTGGGAAGCCGTGCCGAGGACGGCGCGCCCGACTCCGGCGTGGCAGGCGCCAGCGCCCGCCCTGCACCGCCGCCCACCTGAGTTTGGAACGCTTACCCTGGTTACGCCGTCCAATGGGGACCGTGTGCACCTGCGTGCACAGTCACGAGGCTCTGCATATGCCAACGGGTAGCAATGCAATGCAAACAAGCACACACACCATGCACATACGCACCGCATGGTCCGTCCGTCGATGACACCTGGTGCCGACCCTTGCGCTCACACCCAGTATCACGCTATCGTCCCACCTCTCCGCGTCGCAAGCACAGGCGACCTAGCCCAGCGAAATTGACACCTTTGCAAGTATTCAGCCGCTAAGAGTTGCTGTTCAAGTATTTGGGCTCGCTTGTTGCCTCTGACTGCACGTTTGAGGTGTGCGCGTTTTGGCAA